CACCTACAGGTAGCAAGGACGTGGCTATTACCTTATACCTCCCTCCCTCCCTCCCTCCCTCCCTCCCTCCCTCCCTCCCTCCTCATGTTGCTGACGGTCGACCCCATCACGTCACCTACAGGTAGCAAGGGTAGCAAGGACGTGGTTATTACCTTATACCTCCCTCCCTCCTCCCTCCCTCCCTCCCTCCTCCCTCCNTAGCGCCACCTGTACGTGGAATATCTACTAGCTAGCGCCCCCTGTGGACGGCGTTAATGTTTACTACAATGCGGTGAGCGCCCCCTGTAGTGTGATATCTACTAGCTAGCGCCTCCTGTAGTGTGATACCTCCTAGCTAGCGCCCCCTGTAGTGTGATATCTACTAGCTAGCGCCCCCTGTGGACGGTCGTTAATGTTTACTACAATGCGGTGAGCGCCCCCTGTAGTGTGATATCTACTAGCTAGCGCCCCNAGGGGGCGCTAGCTAACCTGTAGTGTGATATCTACTAGCTAGCGCCCCCTGTAGTGTGATACCTCCTAGCTAGCGCCCCCTGTAGTGTGATATCTCTTAGCTAATGCCCACTGTAGTGTGATATCTCCTACCTAGCGCCCCCTTGTAGTGTGATACCTCCTAGCTAGCGCCCCCTGTAGTGTGATATCTCCTAGCTAGCGCCCCCTGTAGTGTGATATCTACTAGCTAGCGCCTCCTGTAGTGTGATATCTCCTAGCTAGCGCCCCCTGTGGACGGTCGTTAATGTTTACTACAATGCGGTGAGCGCCCCCTGTAGTGTGATATCTACTAGCTAGCGCCCCCTGTAGTGTGATATCTACTAGCTAGCGCCCCCTGTAGTGGGATATCTACTAGCTAGCGCCTCTAGCGCCCCCTGTAGTGTGATACCTCCCTAGTAGATATCACACTACAGGGGGCGCTAGCTAGTGTAGTGTGATATCTTGGGCGCTCACCGCATTGTAGTAAACATTAACGACCGTCCACAGGGGGCGCTAGCTAGTAGATATCACACTACAGGGGGCGCTCACCGCATTGTAGTAAACATTAACGACCGTCCACAGGGGGTGCTAGCTAAGAGGTATCACACTACAGGAGGCGCTAGCTAGGTGATATCACACTACAGGGGGCGCTAGCTAGTAGATATCACACTACAGGGGGCGCTCACCGCATTGTAGTAAACATTAACGACCGTCCACAAGGGGC